CTTCTCAGACAACAAAACAGAAACAGAGTCTGTAGGCATTCTTGAGAATTTTCCTCTAACTTTCATTTCTGTTGACACCAGAAGCTGATGAATGGGGACATGGAATTGCTTAGTTCCAAGCTGCTGCTTCCATTCTGCATTAGCTGGTCAGTCTGTTCTCTGTTCATGATATATTTTGGTGACATGTAAAAAACTACCAACCAACCAACCAACCAACCGACCACCCAGGTTTTTTTACCAGTGAATAGAAATTTATACTGTGAAGTAGCAACATTTTTGGATGCCCTATCAGACACAAAATGAATTAGTCATGAATGACAAGTTGTAGGGGAAATTCTGCTATTGGTGTTGCACTGGAAATCACTTGGCCTCCAGGAAACTAGAATCATTCTATGCGTGCCACTGGTCAGTAACTACTAGATCACAAAGAAGAAGTTTTCAATTAAGGGAAAAATGAGCCAACAAATCTTCGGTATTTTATATTCCTTCATACTAGTTTGAATTAGAAGAAACTCAGTTGGCCTCTGGTGTACTTGGAGAAAAAGGAGAATAGGGCTTTTTGCTGTGAAGTTTTCCTGTTACATTTTCATGTCTCAGTTTTGTCTTCTTTTTTTTTTTTTTTTAATTCATGGAAATTATTAAACAGCTGTAATACTAAGCTGCTTGTATTAAGGTAATGTATATGACAGAAATGAATTAGTCCCTTCACAGAGCTAAAGCTTTCACAGAGAAATAAGCCAAGGGAACGGGAACAACAGACAAAAAAATTTCCATCCAGATGTAAATGGAACAATGAAGTCCATTTATAGTTTTGTTGAAGACCTAAGTCTATGTCTTTTAACTAAAGGCAGCCATAGCAAAGCAGTCAGAACTGAAAGTGTTAATCCAGCTTTCATTAAGTTAATAGTCTATATTGTGGGGTGTGTGGGCTCTGTTAGAAACAGACTGAATTACAGCCCTAACAATCTCTCGTTCTCTAACACTTTGTTTTAAATGGATCAACCCTCTGTTCACTAGATGTATTACTGGGTTTATTTCAAAGCCACAATTCTTTTTTTTTTTAGTCAGGGGCTAAGCTTATGTTTATTTGAGGCTTCAGAAGAATATCTTTCTTTGCCAGTGGAGAATCTGCGTCAGCTATGAATGACAAAAAAAGAAATCTGACTCATGGCAAATATTTGAAATAAGTCAGTGGGAACATTTGAGAAATAGGAATGTATGCCCTACCATGGAAGAGCATGTGTGCTATGGGCCAAAAATGGCTAGAGCATAATTTCACCAAAACTACATCAAGCTTTGATTCCTTGAGGGGAGACAAGCAGTTCTCAAGTGAGACACACGTAGTCCATGAAACCAACATATCCAAGTGCACAGGTGAGAAAAAACTCCCCACAGTCTGAGGAAAGACATTCAGAATGAAAGCAGATTAGGTTAAGAGGAATGGTCAACTCTGAATGTTGGGAAGATAGGTCTGGTAAGGAACTTGCAATTGTGGGTTTTCCATGATGAATTTATGACATTTTGGATGAAAGTGAAAGTATCTTTCAAATGAGAAAAGTTATTCTTGTGTTCTTTGTGGTTTATGCAGGGAAGCTTCAGTTCGGATTCTATTTTAAGTAGAAATTATTTATAATGATGACTGTTAGCATGTTTTTTTTGTCCTTAGAGATCCCAAAGAACTCTTACAGACTGTATATTAGATCACTTTGTTAACTTAGTTGATATGAATGTTTTAAGCACAGGAAATATTAAGCATCTGCTTCACACCAATTTCAAAAACTAGGTTTAAGTCCAATGTGAAAATCTTTCTATTTTCTTAGCTAGACAGAATAGTTAGAAAGATGATTCCTCATGGATCCCAGCTCTTGGGAGACTGTTTTAGTTAGCATCATGCTTTTGCCTTCTGAAGGGACGTAAACACAGAAGTCCTTAGTCCTAAAACCGCTGTCTCATTTTATTTTCTGGTTTTTGGTATCACACATAGAGTAAGCCTAAGAGAAAAAAATACCCCTTATGCATGTAGACAACTTCCCTATTAATACTGCCAACCTGAACTGCAGTCTTGATATCAGTATCAAATGAAATTTCTGTTTTCAGCATTTTTTCTTTGCTGGTGCTTTTTAGCTTTAACTCTTCAGATAACTTTAAAGTCTGCAAAGGACTCGCTACTGTGTGGAAACATGAATTTGTGGTGCTATTGGGACCATGCTGTGATTCTCTTTGCTCAGGAAAGCCCTACGGTGCAGATGACTTCCTCCCTGTGCTCATGTATGTGTTGGCCCGCAGCAACTTGACTGAAGTCCTTCTGAATGTGGAGTATATGATGGAGCTCATGGACCCGGCTCTGCAGCTAGGAGAAGGTAAGAGTACAGTGTTTCTCATGGGATATTCACTTTGGAAATCATCATTTGTCTCACTTCAGTGCTTGTGAAAGTGGGGCAGCAGGGCTCTGGCTAGATTTTGTGGACAAAATGCTTTGGCCAATCTTTTCAAATATGAAGCTCTAAAATTATTACCAAACGTTTTTAACTCCTTTAAGCAGTGCAGTGCCTTAAGACACAAGCTATAAAGGCAAGGATTCATGATAAATGATAACTGAGTGCTGGATTAGCAACCTAAACAGAGACATCTTGTGGTCCTTAGCCCAACGGATGAAAAGCTGGAAGATTTTTGCTAAAATTAAACAGCTGCTGGAAACTATTGTGCAGACACTTTTATTTATTCCAGCGAGAAAAGAACACATTTCCTAAACTGCATTGTATGTGTATGCCTGAGGGCTACATTCTTATGGTCACTCTACTCCTAAATTTGAGCAAACCCTCTGACAATGTTCTGTGACTGAGCATCATAGCAAGATAAAATAGGTTAGAGAGGAATATTGAGTTTGGAAGTGACTGAAGACCTTTCTTATCAGAAAGATAAATACCCCAGGGAACTGTGGGCCTCTAGTTTCTTAAATATAGCTTGGAAAGCACATGCTTCCCAAGTGACAATTGCACACTCTGAATTAGGAACACAGATAATTTATCACCAAGTAGTCACTAAACCAATCAAATGAGGTTTATTTTAAACTTTGCTAAGTACTAAGGTTCTAGAAAGGAGTCCTGGATGAACAACAGCAGACTAATTTTATTTATATTAAATGAGGATATAAGTCTGAAACTAAGCATGTCATCCCACTACAGTGCAGAGTGGACAAAAGTAAGTACTAATAGGATGATTTGTAGCAATACAGTACATCAGTAAGGTGTTTCTGCACAGGCTAGTTTTTCTGCTGAAAAGAATTCTTAGCAGAAAAAAAAAAAAGTTGAAGCACAACATTTTGTGGACATAACCAAGCTGCTTTTGGTGACTACTCTGCACACAGGTTCTTCATTCCAAAGTGGCACACTACCAGGTTGAAGTCATATGGGTTGGGGAGCTCAAGATATCGAAAGCAAAGCTGGCTGGGAAAGTTCTCTTAGCTCAAAGATGCAAAGACTCTGTGAAATGTGCACTCCAGTCAAAAGGGAAAATTTTGTGAGGGAGTTACAGATCAAACTGACTGGAAAACCACCTTAGAAAGGACACTGGAAGTAACTGCAGATATGAGAAATGGGGGGCGGGGGGGCAGAGAAGAACGTCGGTGAAGGCAGCTCTGAGATTTCAAAGTGTAGAACTACCAAAAGTTAACTTGTGATAGGCCTTTCAAAGTTGAATTTCAAAGCAAAAGGCGTTCAGGTACAGAAATTAAAGGGAAAGAAGTAAAGCAGAAGTGAGAAAACTGTGAAATTGCATAGGTCAGTATACAAAATCACTTCAATTTTGCCTCCAAATGAAAAATATACTTTGAATTCATTTAATACCAATGGTGATGCTGACTGCTGGGACAAGGGAAAGGACAGATTATAGGGAGCAACTGGATGGAAATAAAGAAATTGGAAGCGGGAAAAGACTTCATTCTTAAAAAAGCTGTGATGAATTCCGGTTGTGCGGGACTCAGAACTCTGTCTCCCTGGGCTCTGAGGGAAGGGATACGCCCTGTCCCAGGTCCCATCACAGCTACTTCTGACTCAGCCAGCAGAGGAGAAATATTGAATGACAGACAAAGGAGGGTAGTAACTGTATTTAAGAGAAGAAAAGTGTCACTTTTAGGCTTCTTACTCAATTCTCCAAACCTCTTTGTGGGAGACAGTAAAGAAAAAAGAGTGTTTTGGGCACAGACCTTCGAAACTGTAGGACACTCCTCATCGATCCACCAGAGTACAGGAAGTCAAATGGTAGTGTCTTGGTCTCTCCTCTCCTACACCAAAGTTTCATGGTGCTCTAAAAATACTGCTCTTAAATCAAGTGCTTTGCCTCCCTGAAGCAGCCAGCCCCTCCGACCATGGGCTCAGCAGTGCCTGAGGAGCCGGCGGGAGCCGCGGGCTGCCGGAGGGATGGGCGATGTGCTGCTGCCATCTAGAGGCACTGCAGTCGCCGTGAAACTCCGTCACAACAGGTGTTAGCTGTCCCCGTTTGCCAGCCCCGGGACGCCGGGCCCGGAGCAGGGCACGTCCCCGTTTGCCAGGCCCGGAGCAGGGCACGTTCCCGTTTGCCAGGCCCGGAGCAGGGCACGTCCCCGTTTGCCAGGCCCCGGGACGCCGGGCCCGGAGCAGGGCACGTTCCCGTTTGCCAGGCCCGGAGCAGGGCACGTTCCCGTTTGCCAGGCCCCGGGACGCCGGGCCCGGAGCAGGGCACGTCCCCGCCGCCGCTGCTGTGCAGCTCCGAGGGCTGCGTCTGCCCGGGCCCGAGCCTCCCGCTTCCCAGCTGAGGGCAAGCTGGGAATCCAGCACTTCATGGGCCCTGGCCCGGGGCTGCCCTGCAACCCGAGCAGCATCTCTGGCCTTGTCAGCGCTTTCCTGCGCCTCTCTGGCTGAAGCCGGTTTTCGTCATGGCCCAGCTGCCACCCTGTGGCTGCAGTTGGTTATTTATTGATTTCCTGCTGCAAGCAGCGCCACAGCAGCCGGGAGATTCTGAGGAAAAGGGCTTTTTCCACTTTACCCTGTTTCTCTGCGTTACCAAGATTTATCCCGCAGCCCTGAACAGTGAACGCCTGGGCTGCCTGTGTAGTCAATAGAGAATGGAAGGAACAGAGGATGACTTCTTCCTGCAGGTCTGAGACATCCCTCAACAGTGTTGAGCCCACAGGAGTTCCGATATCCGAACATTCCAGTAGTGTAGCTGGAGCTGGGGGGCTGGATCCAGGCTTTGTGCTTCTCCTGCAGGAATCTACAATTATTTCTATTTCCCTGCATTGCAGGGACTGCTCAGGAACCCAAGTTACAGACCTGTTGCATAGGCCCTGTCAAACACAACAAAAAGATGGCCATGGCCCGAAGAATAAACATCTGTGGCTTGAGCTTGTTTGTGAAAGAAGTTTTTGTAGTTCTTTCCTTTCGGCCTGTGTTCTCTCCCAGGACATCTACAGCCTCAGCAGCCTGGGCAGCAACACTGATGAGCAGCAGGAGGAGCTGGAGGACATTGGTCATTAGGTGTCCTTTGCCTGGTTAACAGCAGTGACCCCCGCACTCCTCTCCAGCAAGGCACAGGCAGTGCAAGGGTCAGACAGCTGCCTATGTGGGCATTGGCAGGCAGGGCAGGAGCAGGACTGAGTGGCCCATGAAGGTATGATGTTCATACAAGACTGTCACATTTTGCAGGCTCCTATTATTTAACAACCACCTACGGGGTCCTGGAGCATATCAAGAACTATGACAAAATCACTGTGACACGGCAGCTGAGCGTGGAGGTTCAGGACTCCATCCACCGCTGGGAACGACGGAGAACGCTGAACAAGGCCCGGGCTTCCCGCTCGTCAGTGCAGGTAGCTGGCACTATATACTAGGGGAAAAGCCTGCATGCTTTCTCCATACTTAAAAACTTTCATATGGTGATTATTTTAAAATGAAATTAATTGAAATCACTCTTAGAAGAGTACATCTAGGGTAATGTTTCCAAATCTTAAAAAACTATACCACATTTGAAATACATACCGCTTATGAAATACATTTTATAGTACTGGAGTTTTAAATATGACTGCAAAGTGATTTTTTTTTTTTTTTGTCCATTCTCAAAGGAAGTGTGCTAGGAGCCTTTCCTTGTAGGAGCTGTGGTGTGGACTCAGAAACCTCTTAATCATTGCCCTTAATGCCTGGGGAAATCATGGGCTAAACTGAGATGTGAGCAGGCTATGCAGGGCTGCTTCTAGATGGTGTAAAGCTGTAGGAGGGTCTGAGACATCCCAAGAGTCAGTCAGTCAAGCATCCTCCAGAGCCTGTCTGGCAGCAGAAAAGACCAATCAAGGTCTGGTTAGTTTTGAGACATCCCCATGCAACAGGGAGAGAGGGTCCCAAGACAGATGGATGTTCTGGGCCTCTAGCTGTGGTGAGGCTGGTCCAGGCAGGCAGGATACCTTGCAAGCCCCATGTGTTGTGATCAAATTGTCACCCACAGGGAGGCAGCAAAGGCCGTGTCTCAGGTTCTGTAGAGCTTTCACAGCGCAGAACTGAAAATTGTGCATGCCGGGGAGGAAAGCCAGGAGAAAGTTTCCAGTGGGGGAGAGTAGTCCATGCTTTTGCAGGTTTCCCATATTGAAGTCAAACCAGTCCCTGATGATCTCAGAAACTGTGAATGGTAGATGAGATACAACAAATATCCAGCCCTGAGTGCTGCTCTGGCAGTAGCTCATAGAAAGTACTTAGCATGGAGCACAATAGCTGAGAAAGCAAATGACACATTTCCATGCAAGATTCCCACCAGCAGCTGAAGGGTCATTTTCCACCCTGTGAATGAGGGGTAGCATCAGAGACATGAAAGCCCATTCTAGCAGAGCAAAACAGCTTGCTGATTTGTTCAGCAGGCCTCAGCCCATCCTTCTGCCTGCCTTAATCAACTGCAGTGATACTCAAGTGTAGTTTGGAAGCCCATAGTCCACGAATTTGGAAATTCCCCTTCTGCCAGGGAACCTCATTATTTTCTGAACAAAATGGTTGGGATTTGTTTTGAAGTTCACAGATGCAAATTAAACACAGAGGTTCCACTGTGATCAAAAGCTCTATAAATTCTGTTCCTTTTGTGTTTGGAAAGATTAAAGTTGTCACAACAGTTATTACTGCCTGAAACAGAATACAAGTAAATCAGCCTTCTCATCATAACTTCTGCTATTTCCCTACTGATGGAAGAAAGTTCAGAGGACACGCTCTCAAAGTGCTGTTTGGGTGATTGTGAAGTTGCTAGGTCACCACATTGCTAACTCTATCCCATTTCTGAGAAACAGGGGGTTTTCAGGCCAGAACTCTGACATTTGTGGTCTGTTATTCTTGTCTGTCACTTCTTTGCAAACACTTTCTTCAGGAATTGTAAAAAGATGGGAGAATGAACCATTGCAGATTGTTCTCTAAGGATATTCACTAAAATAATAAAAAAGCACTTTAATTTCAGTGTCTTTATCGTGCTAATTGTTTGGTAATGTGCTTGTTTAAGTATTTGCTGATTCAGAGCCTGTCAGAGAGAAGGAAAGAGAGAATAACTAGGACATTGGAGAATGCCTGGAGGATATTTGGGAGCTCTAGGCAGCTAGAGTTTGTGACTGAATTCTTCCTTCTTCAGTCCTAGGTTACTGTGTTAACTGCAAGGTTTCTCCTCGTGTTTCTCTTCAGGATTTCATCTGTATCTCCTTTCTGGAAATCAGTGGTCAATCAAGGACACTTGCTTCCCGTCACGACACCACAGCTGAGCAGCTGAGCCAGCAGTGTGCCGAGAAGTTTGAAGTGTCCCATTCCAAGGACTATGGACTCTTTGTTTGTGTTGATGACCAGTGGCTGCAGCTGGACAAAGATGCCCTTCCTCACCACATCAAAGCCTCCCTGCTGAAGAGTGAAACCAAGAAAGATTTCCATTTTATTTATAAACCAATAGACCATAAAGCCCCACCAGTTCCAATTGTCAAAGAGTCAGATTTTTCCTAAGGGCCATGCTGCTTTTTTTCTGTCTTTGCTGTCATCCTGGAAGAGCTGGATAATTTACCTTGTGAGATCCTCTGGTATCTGCTCACCTCAGAAGTTCTCTAGTGTGGCCTTCAACATAGGGCAGATGGGCTAATTGTAGATGGTGTCTGAACAACGTCAGTAGAGGTCATTTTCAGAAGTAAAAGGAGCATTCAGGAAAGCATTCATTCTCTGGAAAACTTGAAGTATCAGTCCTCAGAACCTCTCAGCTGCAGCTAGCCAACACTGTAGAACATAAATGAACAGTGGAGAAAATCCAGAGATCTTACAAAAAGGTGGACATTTACTTTATAATAAATGATGGCAGGTGTGAATTACGTCTGTGCAGGGGGCCTTTGAAAGGCCTGCACACACCTCAGTCTGTTTGGAGGTAAGACTGTGTTTGTGCCTTACAGTATCTGTTCACCCAGTCTGAGTAAACTGGGTCTTGTCTGATATATGATGAGTGGCATCGGGTTGCCACCTCTAGCAGAACTCCATCTCTGTCTTGCTGTCAACATGTCTTTGCCTTTGAGATCCACATAATTACAAACAGTGCAAAATGACCCTGTACTTTCACTAAAAATATGGGTTTTGCCTTCTATCTGTCACTCAAATCAGGTAGCATAGGCATTTTCATCAATGTATTTTTCCTAAAGATTGAGCATCTTCACTATCAGTTTTAATGTACAGCAGTTTTATTCATGTTGGTTGTTTGATAGTGTCTGGTTAATTGTATATTTATTTCAATGTGTGATATGGTGCAATTATTTTAAAATAAGCCTTTGTAAAGAACTTAATAATTTGCCCAGAGTATCAAACCAGATTAAAATTTGAAAGTCAAAAGGAGTTAGAATTAAATACCAATCCTTTTTTACATGGCTGTCATTTTCACAAGTGTTATCCTAGCTGTAATTCCCACCAGATCATTACTTTAATAAATTTAGGCTGTTGCAGACAGAACTTTCTAATTCTCCTTTCTATGTGTTCTTTTAGTCATTCAGTCATTGCGGACTTAAATTTCCCTGAACAAATTCCCAGAGAATATATTGAATCAATGCAAAAATGCATTTCATTCAATTTGAAAACAATTTTTCAGGACTGGATAATGGAAGCAGGAGCCTTAATTGCAAGATTGGTCCATGTCTTCTGAGTGCCTTCATGCAGGCAAAATTCCCACTGTGAACACAAAATACTGGGTTGTCTGCATGAAGGAGGCCAGTAACCTCCACTGCAGCTCCACCAACTTGGAATCAGGCCTACCATAGCTCTGATTACAAAAAGGTGTTTTTCTCTGGGTTTTGCTCAAACTTGCTATTGTGTCCTCCCAATAACCTTCAAAAGAGATTTATGGCACCTTGGGCCAAGTTGCCCAAGGTGTCTGCCTTATTCCTGAAGCTCCAAGGATGAAAAGGTATTACATATTTCTGGTCCCTCTCTCAGTCTCTGGGGTTTGAAATAAATGTCCATGTCTATGTGCCCCAGCTGTAGCCAAATCTGCATACAGCTTGCAAACCAGCTGTGCATCTGCCAGCATGGCCTGTGTGCACATCTTGCTGGGAAGGGGCAACAACCAAGAATGAGGAACAGTGAGTAACAGCACTCTTGGTTTTGAGGATATCACGTGCAGAGTTTGCTGTGCATGACAGCACAGCTGACTCCAAATTCATGGTTACTTCTGCTATGTGCAGGTGTTGGAACCTCTCCCTTCCTCTAGGCAGCACATCTGGAGGATGCCAGAGCTGAAGCCGTCCTTCATGCTGCCATAACCCTCCTGCAGGGCTGTGTGCTCCTGCTGGGAGCCTGGGCTGCTCTCAGGGTGGCCCTTGGGATGCCGAGGCTAAACCTGAGACACAAATTTCCAGTACCAAACTGGGAGGTGATGCTGTTCTCAGGGCCCTGAGGGCACTCATAGGTGTGGGCTGTCTCCAGCGCCTCCACATTGCCTCCCCAGTACCTCCCCACCCTGCCCATGGTCCAGGACACCACTTCAGCCTCCCAGGGCTGTCAGCCCCTGCCCCAGTGATGCTACAGCAGGAATGGTCTCCAGTTCCCCAGCCCTCAGCCTGTCCCCATTCTCAGGGAGGTGCTGGATGTCCAGGACTGGGGCTTCTCCTGATGCTCCCCTGATCCTTGGCCTGATCAGGTTATCATTGTAGTACAACATTCACAGTCAATGAGCCTAAAAGTATTTGGATGGGTAAGAGGTTAAAGTAGAAACATGGAAGGAAAGAAGCTGCGACTGATCTGCTGGATATTTCTGCAGAGCAGCCAGACTTCGCACCTGCCAGGGTCAAGCAACTGGCATTGAATGAATTGAATGAAGAATTGAATGAATGAAAATGAAGTGAAGCGCTCCAACACCTAACAGTGTCCTGAAACATCTGAGTCACCTGCTGGACCTTGGGGCTAGGGAGAAGTACGGGATATAGAGCTGGTCAGTGGAGCCTGTGGAAACAGTGCTAAATCACTGCAATCCAAATGGGCTCAGACCTAAATTGACCTAATGTCTAGACCCAAAATCAGGCCTGCAGCTTTCAGTTTTTGAAATGCAAGGAGTGCCTTGAACCTTTGAATTTGTGTGGGCTTTTCTCAAATTGGATATGCAACGTTTTCTTCTGGCATAACAACTGCAAAGCTCTGATTTGATTTGCAAGAGCTGCCATGGCTCTCCCAATC